AAGTCAGGTCTGTGCCGAACCCATTGGAGAGCCATTCGTGGAGGGGTTTCAGGTCGAAGTGAACGATCAGGAGATCGATTGGTCGATGTCGCCAAAGTGGAAGCCGGGGCTTGGGTGGAGGCCTGAGATGTGAAGAGGGAAATGGAGAGGTCAACGGGTTCCGGTTCAACTGGCGTTGGTTCTGGTGCCGATGGAGGGGCCGAGGCTGGTGGAGGGCCCGATGGTGTGTTGGTGGAAGGTGAGGCTGTGGTGATGGGCAAGGGGGATGGTGCGGGTTGTGGAAAGTAAAGTTGGAAGGGAGAGAAGAAAGGATTGAACGATGAATGGAGGAGAGCCTGTTGTTGAAGGTGATGAGCAGCCTGTTGTTGTTGTTGTTGTTGTTGTTGTTGTTGTTATTGAAGGCGGAGTTGTCGAAGTTCCTCCGCCTCTGCGGGGGGGAGGGTGCTGAGCGGTGGAACAGGAGGAGGTGGTTGAAATGCTTGAGGTGGAGTGGTGGGTCGTGAGAGGGAGTGAAATTGAAGGCGGAGTTGTCGAAGTTCCTCCACCTCTGTGGAGGGGAGGGTGCTGAGCGGTGGAACAGGAGGAGGTGGTTGAAATGCTTGAGGTGGAGTGGTGGGTCGTGAGAGGGAGGTGGAGCCTGGAGGGGTAGGTTGCGCATGTGGTCGATCACCGGGTCCAGGTAGTAGTACCAGAAGGGGACGCCCCCGAAGAGTCCCGATCAGAAGGAGGGTGAACTGAGGCTGGAGGCGAAATGGGTGTGCTGTGTGGCCCAGCCACAGAGCCCAGCCACAGAGCTCAGCCACAGAGCTCAGGGGCGCGGCCAGTGAGTGTGTCCAGCTCTTTTCTTTCTAAGATAGAACCCCAACAGTAAACTGTTTGGGGAAAAAAGGAGGACAACGATCGAGCACATAAGTGGGACTCACCGAGGATATACTTCAGGAACCAAACTCTTGGTTCAAATCCCGGTCCCTGTAGGGTTTGGACTTATTCATATTGTGGAATCTGAGCAAACCACGAGGTGCTTGGAATTTTTGGAAGAAAAGCCTGCAGTTCAACCAAGGCCAAACTGACAAAGTAACGTGCAAGTGTGAAGTGGCTCGAGGTGCCGAAAGAGAAGTGTGGTGGGCTGTCCGTAGTCTGCCACGATGGGTGCTGGAATGACACGAGCGTGAACGTGTTGGGGGGAGATTGGAGGAGCGAAGACGCTCCTGTGGAGTGTGCAGTTCCCGAGTCTCCTGATTGTGTGTTCGGGAACGGCGATGTCGAGACTGTGATCGGCGACTGTGGTGGTTGTCCCGTCGGGAGCGCGACGTCACAGGTGATCGGCGTCGATGTTCACGTGGTCGGCGAGAGTGGGCAGAGCGGCTCCTGGGATGGGAACGTCGCCGATCGAATTGCCGTGTAAGAGGGGAGCGTGTTGTCCGCGAAGTGCGATGGTCACGGGAAGAAAGTGGTTGCCTGGGGCACGGACGGGGTGCGTACGGGTTGTGAGGCGGTGGACCCGTAGCACGAGGGTGAGAAAGTGGAGGTCGGGGACGAGGCGCTTGAACGCGTGGTGGTGGAAAAAGTGGACCAGTAAGATGTGTTGGTGGGCTGGGTGGAAAGGCGGGGGTTGAATGTGGTCGAGGGAAGGGAAACTGGGAATGGTGAGGACGTGGTGTCGAAGGTGGGCCGGAAACGGCTCGAGGTGAGGTGGTAGTCTGGTGAGAATTGTCGCCGGTGACAGTGTCGGAAGGTTGTGGTGGATCTGGGACGCCACGTGCAATTTCAGTGCCAGGTGGTGGGTTGATGGATGGTAGGGGAGTGTTTTCATCAGCATCATAGTCGACTTCTTCGATGTGCGTGTGATGCCTCGTATCCCGTGAACGAGAGGTGCGACCAAGATCCCGTCGTCGATGAGGGCGATTGGATTCCGGAGAAGAACCAGAGCTCGCCATGAGGCAGGTAGTCGCCCGAAAACGTTACTCTCCAAGAGGGTAAACAACAAGGAAAGGAAGATTGTGAGTGAGATGTGAAGGATAGATAATCATCTCGTGGATATTCATGTCTCAAAGTCTGGAGCCCAAAAAGGACATGTAAAGGAAAGGGAATGATAAGGTACAAATCAAACGTGAAAAGAAGGTGTCAGCAAAATAAAGGCAAGAGTAGCTTGTCCCTTTTGCTGCGACTGGCAAAGTACAGGGTGAAACAAAGAAGTTATAGGACCTGGTCGAACGAGGTCGAGAGCGAGATCTCGAGCGCATGTGAAGACGAGGCCGAGGTACAAGGCGAGAGGGCGGAGGGTCAGAAGAGGAAGGCATCCGGTCAGCAGTGTTATGGGTCCTGGTAGTCCTCGATGAAGTCGTAGTAGAGTGGGGTCGAGCAGGAAGTGTAGAGAGGGATGCGCGATCGCCAAAGTCTGTGCGACCTTCGAGTTCGTCTTCAAGTTGTTCCGGACTCTGTTGAATAATATGAAGGAGGCCCAAGGCAGTGAGGAGCTTGTGGGTGTAGTGCACGGCAGTGTGGTTGAGGCGAAGGGCAAGAAGGAGCGTATTGTCCAATCCTTCAAGTTGAGCTCGAAGTTGTGGGTGTGTCACCCGATACATAAATGGAAGGGTACGAATGCTGAGCGGGATATGCAGCAGTGAATGGATCTGGGCCAAGAGAACATGTACAAGTAGAAGTTCACGATGTAGCATTGCTTGAGCACGAGGTGGAAGGCCTGGAATCGGAGCTAGACCGCAAGGTGGTGTGGGCGTCGAAGCCATGGCAGAAAAGGCGGCGAAAAACGAGGGGGCAAAACGAGCGGTCGCTGGTGAGCCCAAGAATAGGGACAGAATAATGGAGTATCAATGTCGAAGAGTTCCAAAAATGGTGATCAAGTTAACGTCAGGAGAAAAAGGAATTCTTTTCTGTGCTTCCGAAAACCAAAGTGGTCGGGCAAGATGAGAAAGCTATCTAAAATCGGAATCGTCTCGTAGGGGATCGTGAACGAGAAGGTGAGCGAGAACGTGGCATTCGCATCAAGGTCAAAGCAGGATTCGAAGGAGGAGGGGGAGTGTGAGTAATCTGAGGAGGAGATGGGTCAGTGGTAGTCGTCGTTGTAGTCGTCGAGGGAGGAGAAGGAGGAGAGATGAGAAAGCGAGGGAAGGCCATAGATGAAGAAAAGGAGTTGGGAGAAGAAACCAAGCGGCCAGTCGGATGTGGAAGTGCCAAAGCGGAGCATAGTTCATCCGTGTATACCAGTGTAGTGCAGGTAGATCGTCGAATCTGTTCAATGCTGGTCTCAAGGGCACGAAGAGTGGTACGAAGACGAGGACTAGTGATCGTGTCCACAATGGATGGAGTGACGGTATCCCAAGGTCCACGTAGGATCAGGAGAATCAAGTGTAAAGAAGAATGTATATGAAGGAGTTCACGATGTAGTACTGCATGAGCGGCAGGAGGTAAGCCGGTGATTGGTGCCAAGCCTGGAGGGGGAGCCGGTGTCGTCGTAGACGGTGCAGACATGGCGGCGAGACGAAACGAAACGTGCGGGACCGGAAGGGCGTAGGGCATGGGGAAGGCTGAAAGCCGAAAGGCGCGAAAGTAACAGGTGATAAGTCAAGAGATTGTGTCGCAAATCAAAATTAAAATTAACAAAATGGCACTACAAAAGGAAGAGTGGGTGGACATTTTCTCGTGAGTGGCACAATGAACGAGGGTGCAGCTTAGAGATTCCTCGGGTACGTACGAGGGTGAGACCGAGAGCGAGAACGAGTAGCGCTGGTCCGGTTCGAAGTGGTAACCACAATGCCAGGTGGAGAACGAACTGTAGGATTCCTCGGTGGAGGGATCGTTGGTTCAGCCGGAGTGGAACTGGTAGATGTCATACGTCGAGTCGAAGGAGAGCCCAAAGGGGGAGGAGGGACGGAAGGAAGGCGAGGGTCAGGAAAAACCGAGCGTCCACGTAGTTCGGCATCCAGTTGAGCAGTGTCGCAGGTCAAGGCGTGCATCATGCCAAAGGTAGTGAGGAGTTCCTGAATGTAGCGCACGCCAGTATGAACCGCCTGAGTCGCCTGGCGGATCGCCGAATCAAGTCCTCGAAGTTGCACCTGAAGGTGTGGTGAGGTAATGTAGTCCATGAAGGAGGGGAAAGGATAGCAAAGCGAGTACGAAGGAGTGAAATAGCGAGGATCAGCAGGCCATGTAGGTGAAGAATTTCTCGATGGAGAATAGTCTGGGCCCTCATCGTGATGCCCTCCACGGGGTTGAGACCAGCCGGAGAAGGGAACATGGCGAGAGGAGGGAGTGGATCAACTGAAAGACTAAGGCTTCGACCGCTATGGTCACCTTGTGCCTTGCCGAAATGGCTGGCTGCTTCGACCGCTGCGGTCACGTAAAGGCATAAGCCAGCTTAGAATTCCTAAAATGAGACAAAATCGGAGTTCTCTCGGCCTAGGCCACCTTCGCCCGCTCTGGGCATTTACATCTCCGGGCAGGGGAGATAACGATGTACCCCCGTTCAACGGGTCCACGGGAGGCACTCTGCGGGCTCATCCCGGGTTGGCACAAGGCCAAACACACTTAGGATAGGGTGTACTGAACTGAAAGCGGTGCCACACGCCGGCCTAGGGTTCCAATTCCTAAGAGTACAGGTAAGGAAACCTACAAGGAAGTGGAGGTCCGTCAAGTTCAGCGAGGCCATCAATTCTGAAGGAACCACCGGACGATCGATCGACAGAATGACGTCGTTCGCTCACATCTGCAGTGCAAAGACAAACAACAAGACATCAGAAAATCGAGGTTCTTGGCTTAGCCTCTTGCCATACGGAAAGTGGAAAATTGCAGGTACACAAGAAGGCGTCCCTTCTCGCTTCACAATCTCAAACCACCGTCTTCGTTGGGCAGTGGATGGAATGAGATTCACTGCCCCCCTGCTTTGACAAAAACTAAAAGGCAAAAGGCAAACCTAACAAATCCAAAAGGATCCCTATGATTCCAAGGGTTACACACACACACACACACACTTCTCGGCTGTCCTTGCGCATGGAACGAAAGATTGCCAAGGCAGCTCTGGTCTGGCTGCACTGCCCACATGCCTTAGAACATTTCCATCAGTCCGAATTCTCAACCTGTCAACGTATTCGGCAGTGCCCAAGCGTTATTAGCCACTTTTGTTCACTATGAGATCCCATGCCATACGATGAAAAAAGAAGGGGGTCCGACCCTGCTCAAGCAGGACACTTCCATACTCAGAGGAGTATGGTGTGACATGGCAAATATCAAGGTGTTGTGATGGTTCCTTTTTTAATGGTAGGTTCAAATCCCTCTGTGTTTGAAGGGGGCCTCTTTGAGGCCAGAGCACTCAGTGCAGCGTTGCAGGAAACAACCTGCAGCGGTTGTCATCTGTTCTGCATATAGCAGGCAATCAGTGGTATGGTAGCCGGCGCATACTAAAGGCATGTATATACAGCCAAACCCACCCACAATCACACACTCACACACATTTTGCACCAACCATTTAAACCTGCTTGACTCTCCTGACCTCTAGCAGCTGCCGTTGGCGAATTTCTTGGAGCAGCCCCACTGCTCGGTTCCACTCCCTTAGCAGCTTCAGCGTTGCGGAAACTAGATTTTTATACCTAGAACTCCGCTAGGACAATAGCATCACTCCACCATTCTCTACCCCTTTTCGAGCACACTGGGCCCACTGAGTGTCGCTGCCACCCTTTCTCACATGCACTTGTGGCTGCAGAGAAACCAATAATGTCAAGCTTGAGGCCTGCTGCCTGGGTGGGGTCGCGGACTGCCGTTCCAATCATATTCTGGCACCGTTTTCAACAACACCTGCTTCTGATGTCTACTCTGACTCTTTCCTGCACCGTGAGTTGACTTCAACTGATCATGCCACGTTTTGTTGCGTGTTCTGCAGCCTCTCCATTCCTGAGCAGTTGCTCTGCATGTTGCCATTGGCGGCCTGCACACCGGCAACAAAGGCAGCGCAACAAAGAGAAGCTGCGGGGCAGAAACAAAGCTGCACCCGCGGCCCCAGAGCCTTTCTCGCAAGCAGTGGTGGCTGAGTTAAGAGCAACGATACCTGGCCTTAGACCGCACCGGCGCCCTGTTGTTTGACAACATAAGCGGGTTGCCAGAGGGCCGACAGCACGGCCCGTGCGTGGCCACAGCCTAGATTGCTGCTCGTAGCTTCTTGTTCCTAGTAGCGATGGCCTCCAACCTAATAGCGATGGCCTCCACCTAGTAGCTTCTTGTTCCTAGTAGTAAGATTATATATATATAAGACGATCAAGAATCTGTGGCTTCCTTTTGTTCTAATGACTTTCAATGCTCCAAGCTCAGCGCCGAAGCTTGGCCTGCCGCGCTTCAGCCAAAAGATGAATAGCATGGAGCCATTGCTGTCCCTGTGGGTTGGACGAGGTAAGCATCAACACGCGCGAAGACAGTATGAGGCCGCTCCTTTTTTCTAACAATAACACGCAAATGCACCAAATACACAAATACTTTTGAACCCTCTATGGGCGCTGGCACTGGGGGCAAAGTGATGGGTCACTTGTCTGGACCAAGCAAGCACTTCCAGGAAAGCTCTTCAGGAGTCTGTTTAAGGGACAGAAGAGCAAGGTTTTTGGATATAATTTCTTTTCCTTTCAATGTCTATAAGACCTTTAGACGTTCACCCCTTTCTTTTGGCTTCCATTGGGGTAGTAACCGGTTAGTAACGTGGTAGTCGAACTCCAACCCACTCCACTTCTACTTGGCCCAGTCATCTGGCGAGCCGGCCTTGCCACAGGCGCTGATCAGCGAGTTGTAGGTGACCACATTCGGCGCTGGACCGGTCCTGTGCTGACAGGGGATGTGGTAAATTATTGGGCAGGATTGGCTTCGTTCATGTGCTCCCGAGCTAAGCCGCTTCTTACAGCACATACTCGATTGGTTAACCAACACAATATACTTATCAACCACTCCTCTGCATCTTCTCCAGCAATGCCAAGGCATCTCGCCAACGCCCATCTGCCTGACTCACAACACCCTCAACAGTGGGTAGAGTCCAAATACTATATGTATATATGTATATAATATTATATTCAATTGTTCCAGTGAGCTTCTTTCGGTCTCCTCCAGAACTGCAATGGCAGCGCTGCAGGCAACCACATTGCCTCGTAAGTGGCACACGGGGAAAGGAAAAGGGTGGGAGCATCTTTTCAGAATGTATCTAGAAGAAAAGCTCCCTGAATGAATTCAGTGAGCTTGGGTGGCCTGGACATCTCCGCAAAAGCTGTAGAGCCAATTGCCAGTTTCGTTCACTGCGACAAGCACCTTGCTCTATCGAGCAACGACAAAGTACAGTAGTAAGGAGTTGCTGGGCGTGACATGGCCAACAGAATTATATTTGGACACACAAAAGGCGATGTTCGCCCGACTTCTCATCATGAACAATGAACAACAATGACCACACAAAAAAAAGAATGACTAACGTGACTAAAGTATACTAAAGCATAGTAGGTGCAAATTCCAGATCTTTGGTTTTCATAATGGCTCACATGATGCCGTGTATTCCAATGTCATTACAAGAATTACCTCAAAGGGCTTGGCTGATAGCTGCCACATACCTGCTGAACATATCTAAAAAATGACAATTTTGAGCTCTGCAAACAGGCGCCAAACAACAGCCAACGCGCAATGGGCACGAGATGTCGTCTGCATCATCCATATGGCTTAGCATCGCCAGGGCACCCTGCAAAAATGATATCGATCCATTTTGGTCCATACCAAGGAACACCAATGCGACACCACAAGGGTCTGTTTTGATCCACCTGCCAGTCTCCGCCGGCGGCAAATGCACTTATCGCGGCATTGTCGGTAACCTGGCACAAACAACAAGGTTCGCACTTGTTTGAAACCAATCAAGTAATGTCTGGCTTGTTGGCAAGGCATTCTCGTACAGTACATGCAAGCTCTGCCGTGTTCGAAGCCAGATCAGACTGCTGAAAAAGCCTCATTCAGTTCAGTGCCAAACCAAGCATTCAAGACCTGCAGAAACTCAAGGTCCTGGCTGAATGGCAGCTCTCCATGCTGAGCCACGCGTGCAAGCACTCATGCTGGAGCCTGAGTCACATCAAGCTAGGTCCACGTCTTTGCGTCTTTGCGCTGTTCATCAAAGAACATTATCTCGGCCAATTCATTCGTTTGGCGAGTGCTGTGAAACTCTTCCACGGACGAAGAGGATGGAATGCATGCATTGCGCAGAGCCTGTACACTGTAAACTGTCGAAGAGATTGCAAGCGAAACAGGAGTTTGACTGTAGTTCGTGTAGCACTCGGTGGGTCTTCAACGGCCACACAGGCCAACAATGCCTGGTTTTATGCTGGACAATGGCGATGCGAATGAGCAGAAGGTGGCAAAAGTGTCGTTGAAAGAGAAGACACTTTGGCCATCTGCTTGCCCGAGTGACAATCAGGCCACTTATAGAGGAGACAAGTGGACAAAGAGAGCAAGTATAGTTTAAATACATATACATTATCTTCCCTCTTAAAATCATGTTGTTAGATGTGCGTTTCTATCTGTGGAATCTATGCAGATTGTCCCTTCAAAAGAATCTAATCATTAGCTTTCCGATCAACTGTCAATTTTCCTATCAAAAACCAGTTGTCCTTTGGATTTTCCTTTGTCAGGCGGCGGTTTCGAGAATAGAGGCGTCCTTTCAATGTCGTTATTTAAGAAAGAGTGTTCCTTTCAATTTACCACCTTAGCTTTCCATGTAGTTTGCATCTTCAACCTAAATCTAGCTATCCCTTCGTTTTGTTTTTTCTTTCATGTGTCCCCCAAAAAGTAAGTTGTCCATTCCATGTAAAATGTTCATTGGCATGTCTTCTTTGAAGAAGTCAAATGCTAAAATCGAACGGCTTCAATTGACAATCGACTTCTTGAAGGTTTTTAGCAGAATTTCAGCTGAACACCCATTGAAGCACGATATTAGTTCAACAAAAACTATAAGGGATTCAGCAGGGCAGTGGGCAAGGATATGATGTGTTTAAGGGAAAAACATGGAAAAATAACACGGTTCTCAACTCGATGCTGCTTAGTCTGTTTTTCCATGCGACCCCATCTTTGGTTTCTCTGCAGTTTTTGCAACGACATATCAAAGATTGATCTTTGACGACCCTTTCTGGAAAAACAAAGGTCCAAGTAGCGTAATTTTCTTGGCAAAATTGAGCTTCTTTGATGACAGCTTTACACTCCATATTTGCATATACTTTACTTGGTGTCTTCGGTGGTGTCTATCTATTTGGCCGTCGCTACAATATATATTGTTTGGAGCGCACGGGCGAGAGCACACATATGAGGTCTTTGAGGGGTCTCACGGATCTGAGTACAAACAATGAGACCATGAGACCATTGCCACGTCACCTGCCACGTCGACTTCAGACCAAAATGCGAATTTCCTGACGCCTGCCACGAAAAGTGACCACCAAGTCCGAAGACGTGCTGCAGACCAGCTTCGCAGATCTCGACCATAAATAGCAGTGAACTAGCCGCCGCCGGCAGTGAGCGCCCTCGATCACACCCAGCCAAAGCCATTACCGTAAGAACCTCTAGTAGAGTGTGATCATGTTGGTTGGAGAACTGTGATCATTCTGCATGTTGGAACTGCAGTGTTCTTTACAATCCAATTGAGTGTCCACTGGAAGACCCACCTCCCCCCGAACCACCCGTGCCTCTTTGACCTCGTGCACGCATTCGTCGCATCATCCAGAACTACATCACCTCTGTAGCTATTGAAAGCAGGAATGTTCTTGTTGAACGCTCTTCACTTTGAATCGAGAAGTGTACCAAGTTTCCATGCTGTAGCTGCTTTGACATACTCACGGACCGAAGTCGTGGAAAATGAACGGGGGCCCTGCATCAGGTGGTGAGCCCAAGGCCAGCTCGACACTGCTGAGTCTTGAGGTGCGGCAGCGATGACAACGCTGCAGCATCGAAGGCCTAAAGCCACCCAAGAAGAGCTCCGCCAAGGGCAGCAGGAGATTGAAGCTGCACAAAAGCGGATGAGTGAAGAAGCCAAGAAAGGGGTGAACTCCCTTTAGAGGATGTCAAGGGGGATAGTGAGGTTCAAGACGAACAGGGGGAGAAAGGTGAGAAGAAAGGAAAGTCATCCCAACCCGTCGACCGCCTTGCCGACAGGAGACAGCCGAACCAAGGCACAGAGCGCTTCCGATCAGAGGACTGCTGAGCCGACACGCCCATCAGGACGGCCGAAAAGGGTCCATCACAGGGCGAGAAGCCAAAAGGAAGTGAAGAAAAAGAGAAGATCCAAGCCAATGGAGGCCGGGAAGCGAACGAAGAGGGTGAGAAAGGAATGGAGGGACAAGGACAAGAGAGTTCGTTGATGGTTCACTCCATATCCACTCCACCATGAGCAGCTAGAAGGGTTGTACCAGATGTAGCAGCAACACCAGAACCGACACCAGCACTGGTGCTTCGTCGTCCGGTCTTCTTAGAGTACGAAGAAGTGAGAAAAGGAGGTGAAGAGAGAGGAGAGGAAGAGACTAGGATGCTGCAGGTGCAAAGAAGGACGGAAAAAAAGGATCTATGAGAAGTGGGAGAGAAAGGAACTGTCAAGACATCTTCAATTCCTGCTCACGGCGAACAAGAGGTTGAAGGACCAAGTTCAAGGAAGAGAATCAACCACCTCCAGACAGCTCGAGAAGTGAAAGAAAAGCTTCCGTTCTCGGTGGAGCAGCCGGCTTCTCCGAAGGAGTACAAGCCTGAAGTTGTATCCTTCTATATATATATATATAGAAAATGTCGGAGTGGGAACAGCTGAAGAAGGAGCTTGGTTGGTCAGAGACGACGTGCAATCAAAGGCCGTTAGGGGGAGCAGCGACGACACTCACCATCTTCGGAGGCAGTCTGCTTCTCAAGCCTGAAGTTCATCAGTTGAAGTCGCTCTCGAAAGATGAACATGTGGAGTAGTGAAAGAAAGAAAGAACGAAAGAAAGACAGAAAGAAAGAATGGAAAGAAAAAACAATGAGTTGATGGAAAGAAAAGAAGAGAAGCAGCTTGAGTCGAAAGAGAGCTCAAATATTCAAATGTTTTCGGTCCCAAGTAGATCGAAAAAGGGGGAGCGTTGAACGCTCTTCACTTTGAATCGAGAAGTGTACCAAGTTTCCATGCTAACATATATACTCAAGCACCCAACTCGGTCGCGGAAAACGCACGGCGGCCGTGCAATAACGCTATCAGTGGCGCTTTGTTCGGAGGTGCACAGCTTGAGACTTGAGGTTCAGTTCATCAGTTGTCATCCTGACCCCACTCCCCGGCAACCTGCCGTCCCTCCTTGAACTCATGCACCCGCTCATCACATCATCCAGAACATCGACGCAAAAAGTTCAAACAGCGTGGTTCGTCAGCAAAAAGCCCAAAAAGGCACTTGTCCGACAGCGCGTTACACATCGTGGTCCAACTACAAAGACACTGGGATGTGGAAAAAAGGTAGATGTGGTTGGCTAAACAGCCAATACCCATCTTCACTGCAATCTGCACCTCTCAACTCACAAGTCAAAATTGCAAACTTGCAAGGAACCTTTAAATCCCTTTAAAGGGAATGCTCTATGATCTATGTGGTCTAGAGTCAGGTATCGAAACTGCCGCGAACCTGAGATCGTTGCTAAGCGTGAAGAGGTCAGGTTCCAGAGAAAACTCCTGCCGCCGCTGTAATGATGGTCATATGAACCCGCACACAGTTTTGGATGCCACCTCAAGTGCTCCAGCCAGTTTGCCATAGTGTCTAGGCATTTAGACAGAGTGGCAAGTGACTTCGGTTATATAACAATAGTGTAATTTCCGTGCTGCAACCAACCCACCCAAAAACAAAACAATTTGTTCCTTTCTTGTATAGTTGCCTGAGGCTCAAATACACCTCTTAGTTTCTGGATTGAAGCACATCGACCATGGCCTTTTTGTACGCATTCTCTATAGAACCATTCTCATCTATATAATCCGACGGATATCGAGAGGAATTCAAGTACAAGTCAAAAGCAAAGGACTTCCAAACTCCAGAAGATCTCTGCTGAAGAAAACTTGGTTTGACCCTTTACAGGGTGTGCCAATCCTGGGGTGGCATAGCTAATAGGAACAAATCTAGGATTTACATAGATTTACAGCATGACTTTCAAGACTACTTGACACTTTGACGACCACGCAGCCACACAAGCCTTCGCCAATGAATTGTAGGACAAGGCCTCTTCCCAGGCGGAAAGGGCCTCAGCGGCAAGAACTCAAAAAGGCGAGAACAAGAATTATGTGTTTTATCTTACTAGTAAGGCACCTGTTACTACTAGCGAGGCACTTGTTCCTAGTAGCTTTTTGTTACTACTAGTAAGGCACCTGTTACTACTAGCGTGGCACTTGTTTAAAAGATGTGTTCTTTTAACAGTGGGTTTCTTCTCACCATATTTTGGTATCACAAAGTTTCGTTCGTAGTCCCGATGCTTGTGCTTGCACAAGTACAATGGGCAGAATAGTAAGAAACATTGAGGCTTGTGACGATTAACTTATTGAAGATTCTGCCAAGGGTGGCGCGCTTGCAACGCCAATGGCGGCATTTAGAACCTCAACAAAAGGCCGAATTCAAAGACGGTGTCTTCCGCGGAAACATGCCATGGGAATGTCAAAATGAGATTACTTCTCCATGAAATTTGCCCCAGCATGGATACTCTCACACGTGAGGGCTGTCGGGATGGCCGAGGCGCGCACAACAGTGGTAGGCATCAACCTCCTGATGACAAGTCAGAAAGTAGCAGTCCAGGCAAACAAGTTGTCTTTGGCATGTTTCCTGTGGGGACACCCTCCTTTGTTCCGCTGAGCCCAAGACCTTGAGAGCATGTCTCCGATGAGATCCCTGCAACGACTGACCTCAATCAACTAGCACCAAATTGGTTGGAGGCCATTGCTATTAGGTTGGAAGGCACTTCTCTGCTGTGACTGTGCAGTATGGAAAGCTTGCCGATGGTAGGTAATCAATCACAACCAGACAAACCAAACATGTCAAAGGCGTATTACTGTATACATCTCCAGAAGCCCCACCAGAGTCAGCCGAAGAAGCAACTGGCATATGTGTGGAAGAGTGTGATGTCCGACGTCCTTGATCTTGACTCTATAATGTTCTATACGTGTCTTGGTTATTAGTTTGAGTTTGATTCTGCATTTTGCATTGTGGCATTCGGATGAAGGAGTTGTTGCTGATATATCTTCAGAGAAATGTCCGCATGTCCGGCTCAGCTTTTTATGGCGCACATAATATCAAAACAACACTTGCTGCTATTGTCTGCAAGCAACAAAGGACAACAATTGCTTTTTCATGCTTGGCGCACTCATCTGTACAACGGCGCTCGATCATTCGATCATGGCCTCGAAGGCATCACCAGTCATCGCTGTGAAGTTTTTGATCCGATGGAAGTTCCCGAATTTCGACATCATATTCCTCAATGTCTTCATGAAGTGCACCGATACGGCATCGAGACATGGCCACACGTAACAGCTCACCATCCTTCACCAACATGCGAGACAAATGCTTGCCATCGATTTCAAGGTCGGTCTCAATCTCCTGACACTCTTCATCTGGTGCCACGAACCAGCCAGGCACTGCTGTGTAGTCAGGGCATGTCTGCGGGGTGCTGTTAGTGCTAAACTTTCGGCCTTTTTCATCCACAACTGGAGCGTCTGAAGGCGCCTTCCAGAAAGGGGTCTCACCTGGATCCAAGTAGTCGCCATGCCACCTGGACACTAGCTCGGCAAGCATGTCCACCTTCATATCCTCGGTCGTCACAGTGGTGCCAGCCATCCAATGGCTCTTTTCAACTTTCACGGTCTTCTCCTGGAGGAGCAGAAAGCTGTGGACAAAGTATATTCAACGAACGATCGACGGCTAACTGTGACATGACATCTTTGGTAAGGCTTGTTTCATAAACTGAAAACAAATTGTCCTGGGAGTCGTAAGTCGTGACATCATGATCGTTCTTCCTCCATGGTTCGAACACCATCAGGCCCTTTTCTGCATCTGCTCGAAGCCGATACTGGATCACAAATGCACTGGAATATCCCGTCTTGAAGCGCTCTCGGGCAGATGTCAATCGAAGTTCAAACCGCTCGGGTAGAGGCTTTAGAGGTTCACAGAGAATCACCGTCATTTGGGAAGTCCCTTCTAGAACCTCCAAGCTTTGAGAATCTGCAAATTTGAGACGCTTTCCACTCGTGTGCCAAACCTGACGTTGAGCATCTATGCCAAGGTGTTCTTGAATGGCTTGGCGCAGCTCTTGGCATGTCATTCTAGTGCTGACTGGCAAAGTCACGGCATTTGTTAGGCTTTGGACCTCCAACTCCCACGACATGCTCTACTCTGGGGCGGCTGGTCTTGAACTGAAGTGTGCTGGGGCCAAAGCTATGCAGTTCTGCTCACACCGCTGCAAATGAGCAAGTGAAAAAGCAGGTTCAGCTAGGTGCCCAGCCGAACCATGTGCTCCTCTCAAGGCCTTGAGTGAAGAGGTATAGATAGCCGCATTTGGCCTGATGTGCTGCGGCTAATACGATTGGCAGTTGACTCTGCCGTGGCTATCTGGCATACAATGAGCTCTGATCAAGCAGTCCAAGGCAAGGATCCCTTTATGTTGTGAATTGATTTGCCCTGTTCGTTGCTTGAATTACACCAGCATAGACCCAGATAGCTAGGCAGAATCCCACGACTGGTTGACATGCGACTGGCTGGAACAAGAATGTACGCAGCCTGCACAGCCAGCTTACGGCGCCTCCACAGCGCGCACAACCAGCTGACAACACCGGCGGCGGCACCAGCGCCCGACCAGCGCCGCCGCCCGTCTTAAACCCGCGCTCAGCCACCAGCACCCAGGACCACAACACCAGCACCAGCACCGACACCCCTTCGAAAGCGCGCGCAGCCAGCTCATTCTTATTTGCAGTAAGAACACCATAGCTATCCCTAGTGTGATCTTGCGTGTATAAGTTTACGCGCACAAAAGTACGCGCGCAAACAGCAAAGCCCGTAAGTGTCATTGGCCCAAGGCCAAGCAGTATCCAGCGCCACTGTTGCCTTTGTAGCATGCTTGAAGCAACGATCTGTAGAACGATAAGGCCGTATGATCTTGCGCGTATAAGTTTATTAGGCACACAAAAGTACGCGCACAAACGGCAAAGCCCGTAGGCTTCACTCGCCCAAGGCCAAGCAGTATCCAGTACGACTATTGTGTGTGTAGTGCGCTGCAACATGCTGAAACAATGGCCGTTTGAGAGCCTGACGTTGCGCATGGAACATTATACGTGCAAAAGTATGCGGGCAAACAGTACAGCCCTTGACACAGCTGTCGGCCAAAACGGAACCTGAAGAGTGCAAATACACCACAGCGCTAATTAATAGACAAAGAACACTCAAGCGACAACACCGTATGATGTTGCGTGCATAAGTTCATGCGGCCCCATGACTGCTGGCACTTCACTGTCAGAAGCGGCGGTTGTTTTCACTTCACTGTCAGGAGCGGGCGCCAGCGCCGAGCACCGGCGCGCCAGCTCACGGCACCCAGCGCCAGCGCCCAGCACCCAGCGGCGCCCAGCACCCAGCGCCCTGTCTCCATTACGTGCACAGCCAGCCACCCAGCACCAGCGGTGCCGGATGCCGGTGCTGGCGCTGTGAGCTGGCTGTGGAGACATGCTGGTGCTGGGTGCTGGGTGCTGGGCGCCGGTGCTGGTGCTGTGAGCTGGCTGGAGGGCGCTGGTCTGGACAGGGTGCCGGCGCCGGTGCTGTGGCTGCGCAGGTGGTGGGCACCCAGCGCCAGCACCAGCAACCTGTCCCCACCACGCGCACAGCCAGTCACAGCACCAGCACCAGCACCGGCGCCGGGCGCCCAGCACCAGCACCGGCGCCAGCAACCTGTCTCCACCAAGCGCGCAGCCAGCTCACAGCACCAGCACCAGCACCGGCACCCAGCACAGGCGCCAGCAACCTGTCTCCACCACGTGCACAGCCAGCTCACAGCACCAGTTCGGCGGACCTAGCACCAGCGCCGGCACCAGCAACCCGTCTCACAGCACCAGCCACCTGTCTCCACCACGTGCATAGCCAGCTCACAGCACCAGCACCATCGGCACCCGGCACCCAGCACCAGCACCGGCGCGAGCAACCTGTCTCCACCACGTGCGCAGCCAGCTCACAGCACCACCAGCACCCGGCGCCCAGCACCAGCACCGGCGCCAGCGCCCTGTTTCCACCACGTGCGCAGCCAGCTCACAGCACCAGCGCCAGCACCGGCGGCACCCAGCACCGGCGCCGCACCAGCGCCGGCGCCAGCAATCTGTCTCGAAAGCGTTCACGGGCAACTCCTTGTTATTTGAAGTAAGAGCCCCATAGCTTCGCTATCTGGGAAAACACTCGAATCAGTGGAACTTGAAGAAACTCACCTGTAGCACGTGGAACCCTTCTGATGGTAGGTGGCCTCCGATGCTTTTTTCCTTTGCTGCTTTAGTACAAACGTGTACAAACATGAGTTTCGTCGACTGGCCTCACACTTCGGTTAAGCATCTCTTGCCTCAAACAACAATGCGCTTCTTGCAAGCGCCAACTTTCAACCAGCAAGTGCAAAAGAACCATCTGGGTCTACATTTACTACACAATTCAAAGACTATCAAATTCCTCTTGCAAACCATTCTTGAGCTCAAGCGCCGCAAAGCTAGCGCCAGTTGCCAAAGCCTCTCACCGGCTGCTGATTTAACCTATGGCTTGAGGCAGAACGCCTCTCTCGCGTCTCTCTATCAAAATGCTTGATTTAGCCTTGGGCTGAAGGGAAGGCGGTTGGAAGCGCAAGCAGCAGGACTGAGCACCAAGCCATGGAATTGAAGCATGATACATCCAGCTCCAGTGAGGCATCACCCAAAGAAAGTCTCTGTTTGAGGCTGTCAAACAAAGTTGTTCTCTGATGTTCCTTGCATGATGCGCGCAAGGTCACCAGGTGTTCTTCTAGTCGTTTACCGCAAAAAGCAAGACTGTACGTCTCCGCAATCCCAAATGAAAAACCTGGTGATGAAACTTGCAAGCTTGAATAGTTCGTTCACATTGCCCGACGCGCTATCTGCAACACTGACTCTTGAGATGTTAAATTTGAGCAACCGAAGACACAACTATGGCAATGGAAGCTCCGATGATATCCGGACATACAGTAAATCTCTTGAGGATGGGAAGGCACACAATCTGTACTGCAGCTACACCTGTGGCATCAAGCAGCTGGCAGGCATGTTGCCACCGGCAAAAGCCTTAGGTCATCAATGAGATTTAAAAAATAAACAAAACAACACCTGAGAAAGGAGAGGACGAAAGCCAGCGAGAGACCAATATGGTAATGCAAGACTGGGAAGAAAAAATAACGGAGCACTTTTTGTTGAATGCCTGTAGCTTTCGTGGAGCTTGTATCAACATGGAGTAGATCAAGATCGGAGCTCAGCACGAAGTGTTGAATGTTTTAGGCTGTCTCGATTTTCCTGGCGCGGTGCTCTCTAGAGCGTCCCTTTTTGGTGGTCTATTTGAGAATCCGGGAAAAAAGAAACGTCAGTGCTGTTGGGGACTTTACTTGGTCTTACGCCACTGATCCGCCCAACATATAACCAAAAGTCGCGGCTACACCTCTCGTCCCAGAGACATAGAGACACAGAACCATAGAGACATAGAGTCATAAAACACAGAGACATAAAAGACACAGAAGTTGCTATCTACACGGGCGCCGTTTCTGAGAGCAACTTGTCGCTGCCAACCATCTAGCATACTTGCCCCAAGACATCCAAGCAGACTTCTCTGAAAGGATGACTAGGAGGATGGCAGGAACTATATGCCTCAGCATTGGCGTCACCAACCGTCATCCAAAAATATTGCATAGATCCGTGACTGTGACTATAACCCATCCTCAAACAGCAATCTCTTCACCCCACCAAGTTGGTATCTACACGGGCCCTTTTTCTGATAGGCACTCGTCGCTGCCAACCAACTACCATACTGGCCCCATTACATCCAAGCAGCTCCATTTTGAAGCAATCATCATTCCCCAACAGCGAAGCGTAGGGGTCTTCTGCCATAGGAAAGACTTCGGAGCAGACTCAGAGCGAGCTTCGGAGCAGGTTCCGGACGAGGTTCCGCAGCGGATCCGGAGGAGGTGCGGCAAACGGTTCCGGGGCAGGTTCCGGAGAAGATTCCGGGGCAGGTTCCAGAGAAGGTTCGGGAGAAGGTTGCGGGGCAGGTCCATGAGGAGGTTCTGGAGAAGGTTCCGGAGCAGATTCCAAAGCAGACAAGGGTGGAGAGGAGGGCTTGGACAGCGAAGAGACTTTCTCAGTGGCGCTTCGTGCTGTTGGGGACTTTACTTGCGCTTATGCCCAAAATATAACCATAAGCGGCTACACCTCTCTTCCCAGAGACATAGAGACACAGAACCATAGAGACATAGAGTCAGAAAACACAGAGAAGTTGCTATCTACACGGGGTCCTTTTCTGATAGCAACTTGTCGCTGCCAACCAACTACCATACTAGCACCAATACATCCAACCAGACTTCTCTGAAAGGATGACTAGAAGGAGGGCAGGAACTATATGCCTCAGCATTGGCGTCACCAACCGTCATCCAAAAATATTGCATAGATCCGTGACTATAACCTTGAGAGCTTGACTCAAGCGATGGGGTGCAGGATGTCCAAGGTTTTGGTGTGCATGCTTTAGGTTCGTACCCAACTAGCCTCATACCTTTGCGTGCACGCTGACGTGCTATCTATCTATCTATCTATCGATCGATCGATCTATCTATTCTATGTATCTATTCTGTACTATCTAGCTGTGCGGCCAAGGCGGAAAAAAGTTCGGTGCACGTCAACGCCGAAAGAAGCATCCGCTCGACGGTGCAGGTATAGTAGAGACTAGGATGGTTGCTCTGTACATGGCAATGCCCATTGTCCAAGTAGCCTCCACAGCCCTTCGTGATGCTAATGATGCACTACTCGGCGTCCATTGCATCACTCGCATCACCAGACACCATTTTCACTGCTTTTCTGACCCTCGCTTTGGAGCGCTCTCTCCAGGCAAGCTCCGAATGGCGCCTTTTCGCGGCCCACCCTCCCCCCAGCCTCTTTACTCACTTCGTTCAGTCTAAGAGCTCAAGCCTAGCCTATCGGCTGGCTGGCTTTCGTAATAATATCTAAAAAATGTGTTTGCTTTCGATTATGTTTGAAGTACATGGATATGAAGTCACACACTTAAGCAAGTGCTAGTGCCGAGCCCATGTTTGCTTGCTTCCCGAAGGCATGCAAACGGATCTGACAAAGGACGAGGAACCTTCTCGTCTCATCTGAGAGTTCTAGACCTTCACCTAATCACAAGCAAGCTCTTGCAGCTGAGGGTTTTTGTTTAGGCTGACAAAGTCCTCTTGGGGAGACATGCATAGACGCACTATGCGAATTTCTATACTATGACGAAGCATGTTCCAAGCAACTGCAAAACACCTGATGTAGATCAAAGCCTTCACCGACATATGAATAATCATCATCCTACACACCGCATCACACAGCTTGATTTTGCGAGGTCCCAAGCCGCGTGACCAGGTAGTGGTCTTCCTGCACTATCGCTGGCACTGCTTGCAAGGCATAAACAATAAAAAACCTGCTAAGACTCATGTCCGTCAGGCCTCCATGTTGAAGAACACTCATTGCCCTCTCCGAATCGTCTGCGCCAATACAAACGGTGCTTTTGTGCCAGGCCTGGCCGCCTGGCCCCATGATGCTGTTGTGATCTGAGAATCGTGCATTAGTCTTGTCTATAATGCAAAGGCCTGATCCACAAAAGCACATGCAGAAACGACAAGTTGAGTTCAACAAGTTGAACAAACAAGCCCACGAGCAAACAAATGCATGTGTTTCCTGCCGCCAATGAAACCGCTCGCTCTGCAACTCGGTCACGTGGCATTTCGCACGTCCGCGTGAGACTGACGCAAGCGCTGCGAGAGACTGATCGAGGCACAGTAGTAAGGGGTTGAACCTCATCACAAACAGCCTCGGATCAGCCTCCCGGGCCTGGCCTTGAATTCCTCTTGTGCTGCCAGTGAAACGTTGGAGATATTCTACTTGCTGCGGGCATGCCCACGAACACGAACGAACTGCAACCAGAACAAACAAAAACATCTTTTGACACTACTTTGACAAAACTAGTATATGCAAGTTTGCACTCGAATCACGCACGGCGAGGACCAGGCGTTGCGAGAAAAATAAAGTCAGATTTGCTTAGACAAAATAAGCGTGAGCCTACATTAGCTTGGCATGACATGTCATTGATATGTTTGAAACCTAAGAAATTTTTATGTTCTGGTCCAAATGAGGCCCTCAGCCACGGAAGGGTGCCTCAGATCACCTGGGCATCGTTTCAAAAGGCTTCTCCACTCAAGTCAAATCCATTCAAATCCTCACTCCCCCCCTCTCTCTCTCTCTCACAATACCACAGCTGCTTCTAGTGCCTCCTTCCATGATGTAGTGGCTCTTGCTTTGAATAGAGTGAATGGGAATAGCGAGATCTGCTGGCTTCGCCACATTTCTGATTGCCCCCCTTCTCTTACTAGGACTTTATGAATTGGCAAACCTGGCAAACCTTCTGTATGACTGCACCAGAATGCTAGGAGGACGCACCCAAGCTGTTCTTTGACCTCCGCCTCGAGCTTCTGATATGCAGCTTCGGCCATCTGAGTGCAACAACAACCCAAACTTGCCAAAAAACCAGGGCATACGTATGAACGGCCAAACACGTCCGTAAGAGAGTCCAAACATGTCGACTTGTAGTGTCTTCTAGGCTTGGCACAGCATCTTCCTTGTCCAAACCCTCGGTCTTATCCTGTCAGATCAATAGCAAGTTAAGATGTTGCAAAGTTAGGGTGCAAACATGTTGGATGTACTGATAGAAAACCATTCACCTAGCGTTCAACGTGGGGCTTGTGCCTTCTCCTTCTCTGCGCCGTCTGTGGCGAGCTGAGCCTGTGAGCAAACGGGATGACAGGAGGGTATGAGATTGTCTAGGTTTCGTTTCGCTGCTTATGTGTGACCCATTCGCTACGCACTCTCGTTCGGCGTTCGCTCAAGCTACAGCCGCTACTCACCTGCTTCTCCAGCTGGTCTTTCAGGTCTTTGAGTTCCTGTTGGCGCTCCTCACGCAGTACAAGCATACAATCAAATAACTGCTGCTGTTTAATTAACATTTTTCATCACGTGTGAAGTTAGAGTGTGAGTTATGTGTTAAGTGTTCAGTGTGAAGTGTTAAGTCGAGTGTGTTGAGGCAGTGTGTGGGTCTCTGTGTGTGTGTGTGTATCTATGTCTGTGTGTGTATGTGTCTCTCTCTGTATGTCTTTCTGAAGCGCAGGAACACCTTTTTTCTGCAAGTTCTTGACCTCTCGCAAGTTACCTCCGCATACTGGAGTTGTACCACCAAGTCGCCAATTCTCATCTTCCAGCTCCCCAGATACTCCGCGTACTAGAGTGGTACTACCAAGTCGCCAGTTCTCATCTTCCAGCTTCCCAGATACTCCGCGTACTAAAGTTGTACTACAAAGTCACCAGTTCTCATCTTCCAGCTCCCCAGGT